ATATTATCAATTATACTAATAATTATGCATGTCTACTAATAGAAATTATTGATTAGTTATATTAAATTAACTAATAAATTTATACTAAATTATTAATTATACTTAACACAATAACACTTTTTTTCTCAAAAAAAAACTCAATAATGACTTAATAATTATATTTGTATCAAAAGTGAAAACTTGACTACTTTAGTTATATTTGTTTCATAATGTTGGATTGTATTCGAATAACTCTTGTTTGATTGTTTTTTTGGGTTTCAATTGTGAAATTACAATGAATAACAACTTGGTGATGTGTTGATATTTTAGTACTTAATTATTTGCTAAAATTTAACTATAAAAAATTATATGACAACTTTTTATTAGTTATGCGGGGGAAGCGGGGCTGGGTGGGAGCCGGCGGGCTCTGCCCCATTGCCATTCCTAATTTAGCATGCCAAATAGGGGTGAAAAACAACTCTTGTTAAAATATCTACTTTTTACACACACACACACACACACACACAGATATATATATATATATATATATATATATCAAAAATTTGGTAGATCTTTTTCTTTTACAAATGTTCTTTTAGACAATTTAAATTTTTATAATGATCATGAATCTAGAACTATATATTTATATTTAATTAAGTAGAAAAAACCCAACAATTCATTTTTCTTTATCAATAAATATTCAGTTTCTAACAATATTGGTAAATCTATCGGTATAATAGTTAATTCTCTTTTTTACACTAAATTAATTCAAAATTAAGGGAAGAAATGATAAACAATATGAATACTAATCAACGAAATGGTGGTAAAAGGAAGTAATTTGGGTATGTAAGATTTTAGTAATTATGATTAAGGAAGTAATTTGGAATATGTAAGATTTCAATAATTGTGGTTTGAAAAAAATTTTACTATAGTTCTATATGTAATAATTTGATAGAAAGCAAAATCATTAAGATAAGATTAGTTGTTTTTAAAGAAATATCATTAACAAGATTAGTTATTTTTTAAAGTTATTTTAAAATTATAGATAATTTTGAAACATATACTACAATCCAAATAGGATTCAATATGGGTAAAATCCAAATGACCCATACCCATTAATTTTCTTCAATTAGGCATGACACAGAGGAGTGAGAAACAACTCTGATTAAAATAGTTAATTTCATATATATATATATATCAGTTAGCCGCATCAGATCTGACCAAACACAGCCCCGAACCGCGAAAGTGGAGACAGAATTAGCTGGATGAATTTTTTGACTTCCCATTTAGTGAAAAGATTTTTTGTACATAGCTTTAAACGTTTGCTTTTCTCTTTTTTTTTTCCTAGAAATTTATGGAGTAATAAAAAATTTATATGTTTGAGAGAGACTGTGTATTTGTATTGAATACCAATTAAAATTAAAGCACAAAGGTGGTCCCACGATTATGACAAAATTTAAGGAAATAAGTGCAATTAGCGACACGTTCATCTCAAGAGGTCAGGTCATAGTAATCTTCAAGAAAATCCACTTCCACTCCTTATCAGTAAAAATAAATTTTGACATATATAACGTGTATGCATAGATAGATACATATAAACATATATTCATGAAAAAAAAGAAAGAAAAAAGAAGCATTATTATTATTTTTTAACTTTTTTTTGTAAGAAAGCATTATTGTTGTTCAGGGCTTGAGGGCCATATCTGATACATGAATACGAAAGCGATGGGAAACGTTTTGCTTCTCGTAAACAAACAAGGATCATTGAATTATTGCGCATGTCATTGAATTTGGAAGTAATAAAGTATCAACTTTGAATCTCTGGTTGTAGTGAGGCACGTACAGATTCCCGAATGCAGCCAGAAATTGTTTAGCTGATTACGAACAACTTGTACAGAAATTGTACGCAGGCTGGAGAGACCGGACACTTCAACCTTGTTTCAATTCCTGCGCTGCATAATGAGTTGGAAAGGGATGCAACAAGTCCTCCAAAAGGGAGAAGCAGCAGAAGAACAGGCAGGCTTTCCTCAGTTTGCCTGGCCACCAGCCAATTTATCATTCTGGGCTCTGGCTGGTGAAATATTTAGTCACACTAGTTTATCATTCTGGGTTCTGGCTGGAGATTCTCAACTGTCATTTGTGCAGTTGAATAATGCACACCTGCATTAACCGAGCGCTGTGCTTAAAAGCTTTTATGGCTGTTGGCTTTTGCATCTAGAATCTTAACCATAGTTTAATTTCATTGTTTCTTTAGTAATATTGAGACGCCAGCCAAAGAAAATATTATGATAAATTAAGCACTGGATTTTAGGGAAACTTGTTATAGTTACAACACCTTATTCCAAGGTTACCTCTGCAAGAAAATGATAAGACTACATATAGTTTTGCAACTCTGGAAAAATCTCAAGAGAAACCTGTGTGCTACCCTAGTTATTCAAGACAAAATAATCCTTATATTCAACTGTAAATTTTCACGGAACACAATTTCCCTCTTGATTTTTGCTGACTCTTTGCTAGTTGCAATTCGAACACATGGGACTTGATTGGCTGTTTGTTAACCAACATAATGGCCCCCTGTTCCCGAGAGATGATACAACTCCAAAATGAAAACAATGACATCAAATTCAGTTAAAACTTGAATGCCATCTGCTTCAAGTTTCCCCTTGTTTGTTTTAATGCTAAAAGGGAAAAATACTCAAATAGTGTGAGATCTAGGGAAGCAAAACTTAGCAGAATTTTAAAGAATTGAAACCCTTAACAGTCATGCCTATCTCAAAATCTAACCTCTTTATAATTAGAGCACAACTCTGATACACTCGACGGACGTTTTCATGCAGCCGCATCTGCATTTATAGTACCTTGCTAGTCGCTAGTTGCTGCAAAATTATTATTATTATTTTCCATTTAGGAGTATTTCAACTTTTCAACCAGATTAATCCCCTGAAACGGTATAGACTTTGGCCCCAAGGATACCAAGCGAGGTAATACACGGGTATCGATCATGAGACCTGCTAGCAACTACTAGACGACGGAATCGGTCGAACTACCCGCAAGGGCGCTAGTTGCTGCAATTGAATTGCAATTATATTGGCCGTTCGTTTCTTTATGAAGAAATTTCATGCACAAGATGCTAATGTATGAAGTGTGCAGATGAAAAACATGCATCAACTAAGTAAAAATTTAACAAATTATAGTCTGATTAGGAAAGACTGGGAGGAAAAAAATAGGGGGGGATATATCTAAAAATATTAGGGGAGGGCAAAAAATCCGATCTGATCCGATCCGATTTTTCTTGGCGAGGGCAGATGCGGGTTGGGTACCCGTAAAAATGGATACGGATACAGATTAACAAAATAAAAACCCACGGGTACTTGACCCGCAGGGTATATTATATAAATATTAAAAAATAAGGGTTCATTATATAATTTTATAATTTTTAATCCTAAGTGTAAGTAAAGTGGTTTACAACCTCATATTTTAATCTCATATGATTCGCCTCTCCTCATCTTGTCTAAAAAAAGTGAATATTCTTGGTGAAACCTGAACCGAATGAATAAAACAAAGAAACATTTGTGAAATTCTATCATAAAAATTGTTCATCCCTTTCATCATTTTCTTTCTATTCTACTTCCATCGATCTTTTCTGCAAAATTTTGATCAATTCAATCAAAAATTTGTGTTTGGAGCTCCAATTTTCTGTTAGTTGGATAATTAAAACATTTGTGTCTTACATTTATTTATTTATTTTATTGCAATTGTGTCTCTTAAATTTGTTTCCTTTATTTTAGTGCAAGAAATTTATTTTTCTTTTTCATCACCTTTAATGCAACAAGGTCTATTCCAAAGATGTAAGAAAGTTGGGGAAAATTTTTCAAAATTACTTTGGTTATACTTTCTTCAAAAATTATTAACTCTGTTCAATTCTTTTCCGAACTTGATTCCACAATTGACTCATTTTGGATGCAATCTTGTACCATAATATCCTTAAGGAAGTTGGAAAAATTGTCATATACTTATTATTCTTGTGTTTGTTATGTTGTAAAAAGATAAAATGCGTGAGAATGGTGATGTATTCAAAATTATTATAAAATTTCGTTTTATCCTTGTATTTGTTATACTTGAAAAAGTTGCCATATACTTATTATCCTTGTGTTTGTTATGTTATAGAAGGATGAAATATGTGAGAATGGTGATGTACTCAAAATTATTATAAAATTTCGTTTTATCTATTAGATATTATAATTCTAATATGTACTAAATTTATGAAATTGGTTTGATTATTGGATGAAATGTATGAGAATGGTGATGCATGAATTTTGATTATAATATATCTACCAATGTTAATTGGAAAGCATACTTTTTTTTTTATTGAAAAACATATTGATATTAAGTAAAAAATATTTTTTTATTGAAAAATAATTTTTTTTTAGGGACGAGTATCCTATGACCCGCTCCTTTTTTTCGGGTACTCAAAAATATTAAAAGCAGGTTAGAGTCACAAAATAACTGATCCAATATTTTAGAGTCGGGTTAGTCAGGACGGCACCCGAACTGTGCTCACCCCTGAAAAATATCCCATTGCAGTTGCAAATGATCCTTCCCCGCTCACCACATGTCACCTGAATCCACCAAGTAATCCAATCATTGAGCGTGTATCCACGCGACAAGACTGAGAATGGGGATTTACCCTGTTCAACTAGAACAAGGCAATACAATTTATAACACAAATAACTATAATTTGACCACCTACGCCAACTACTGTTAGCCTCAGCCTCAGCCTCAGCCTCAGCCTAAGTCTATAAGAGCAAGCCAAAGCCTTCCCCTCCTCCATCTGTTAAGCTACATATTTCTCAAACTACCCAAGTACTTATCCCAATTCATTATTCCCAAAAAAAAAAGAAAAAAAAAACTCACACACACTAACAATCGCAGAAGGGCATGCATGATTGCATATTGCCTATACAAATACAAGAGCAACTATACAAGCAGACAAAGGGGCCTTGTAACCCCAAAAAGAAAAAAATGAAAAGAAGAAGAAGGATGCAGACAAAAGGAGCTAAGAAGAGTGCGGAGAAATTGTAGTGGTCCTCACTCCCTCAGTTCTCTTTTCTCCATCTCACTCTCTTTCTCTAATGTTGTAGTATTGTACTAGTACTACTTTTTAAGCTTTCTCTCAGCATGCCTTCAGTTCCATTGATTACTCTTCCCACACCCCATATCTTTCAAGTCTTTCTCATCCTCCTCTTGTAGTCTTCTCACTCTAGTTTCTTGAATTGAATTATAAGAAAGAAAGAGCCCTCCACAAGGTCGCTATCATCATGGAGCCTCACATGCACCACCTTAGGCAATCATCATCAGCCGTGCATTCCCCGTTTGCTCCAACCAAGAAAGTGACGGAAGAGGCAGAGACTGACACAGAGGAGGAGGAGGAGGAGGAAGAGGAAGAGGTGGACGAGGAGGAGGAGGAAGAAGAAGATGGTAATGGTGGTTTTGGAGCAGAAATTGAGGTGGAGCCTGGGCTTAAGAAGAAAAGAATGAATTTTGATGAGGGTCCAAGGAAGAGGGGTTCAAGAACTGCTGCTGCTGCTGCTGAAGGTGCTGGTGGTGGTGGTGGTGGTGGTGGAGGGGTGGCAGTGGCACCACCGCCGGGCTGCCGGGCGGAGAATTGTAAGGCTGATCTTACTGATTCAAAGAGCTACCACAAGAGGCACAAGGTGTGTGAGTATCATGCTAAGGCTGAAGTTGTCGTGGTTGAAGGACTGAAGCAGAGGTTCTGTCAGCAGTGCAGCAGGTTTGTAGAACTCGACTCATTAAGACAATTTTTTCTTTTCCTGCTTTCCCAAATCCTCTATGCTTATTTCCGAATTAATAGAAACATAGTTACGAGCTGTTTATCTCATCGTACCTCCTCTGGAAGAATTAACCATGATTAGGAAAATATTAATGTGATTAAATTCATAAATTAAGTTTCTGTTGTCTTGTCACAGGGAAAAAATGGGAAAAAACAAACCCATAATTAGGAAATAAGATACGCAAATGTGTCAAAGCTGTGACTAAACATGCAATGAAGTACGCAACCGTGGCCTTCTTTGTCGATAGATCAAGTGTCCTTCAGGGCTCGAATGAACTACTGATTATCAACTAGGAATACTACATCCTAAAATGCTTCAGATGAAGATTAAAGAACAATCCTTCAGATAATGTTTAAAGAGCATCTTGATTTGTATCACTATACTTGTGCATTACTGAACAAGTTGGGAAAATTATATGGTGTAGCTTCTTTAGATAACTGTTAAGTCTTCCAAACTAAAATTCCAGCTGGTCTAAACATCACTTCCAGTGATACGTAATGGAGAACTTTAGCTTTCTGAGAATCATGTTTGACAAAAGCTGTGTACAAGGAACTCCTGACTAAAAATGGATCAAGCAAGCCCTAAACAATTTCCATTTGCGGTGATGCAGAAATTTGACCATACTCTGGTACTTCAGTTAGTTCAGATCATAAATATTCTTTAGAAGTCCTAGTATCTCCGGGCTTTTTTCTTCGCAAATTTATCCTATCATGATAGCTTCTATCTTATTTGATCTTTATTAGGAAAAACAAATGCCAGTTGATGGACTTTTGGCTATTTTCTGCCAGTTATCTTCCTCTTGACAATCTTTTGCTTTTGTTATCGCGTAAGTTCTCAAATTTGCAAGGTCCAAGACTTGGTTATATTGTCTATCCAGATTCCACGACCTCTCAGAATTTGATGAGGCAAAGAGAAGTTGTCGCCGACGCTTAGCAGGACACAATGAGCGACGCCGCAAGCACTTTACTGAATCTCGTGGAGAAGGATCAGGACGACGAGGATCGAATCCGGGTACCAAGAAAGATCAATGCAGGCAGGTTGATGAAAGAGGAAGAACCCCAATTGTTTTACCAGAGAACCACCAAAAACTCCACATCCATTAGGCATTCATTAGTTGCTTACTCTCTTCTGTCATCCTATGGAATATTTATGCCATTTATGACATAGCTTCGAGCCTAGTTAGTTTGCACAACTTTTGATAACTTTTACTCGCAATTGTTTCACTTTTCACCTCCATGCGGTCTGTAATGGGTAGTATTGGCCTAACTTTAGCAGTTAGTCCAGACTATTTCAGTGTTGAATCTGCCTTCAACTCCCCTGTGAGGCGTAAATTTTTGTTCTTCGTATGGCTGAAAGATGAACCATGCTTCTCAATACTCAAATCGAGCTTGGCTTGGTAAGAGCTCGCTTGAACTTGGTTGAGCTTGATTTGTCAATTAGTCAACCCAAGGTTGAACAACATTTTATGTTCGGCAATTTTTAAATTTGATTAAAAACTCATTCAAGTTATTTTCGGCAAATAACAAGTCAAATTTAAATAAAATTTGAAATTCGTTAAAATAATTCAATAAGTTTGAATATTAGGATATTCAGTTTGATTATGCTCATTTACACCCCAGTTCTTTGTCTCTTAAGTTCTAGCGCACAGATCTACATTGTTTACTCCAATTGTGTGGCAAATGTACTGTCCAGGGAATCTTGTTTTCCCTCTTTTTCTGTTTCTTTGATTAAAATCTAAGCAATGTGGATTCATTATTCATTACATTATAAAGCACTAAGATGCAATATCAAAACAATTATGAAACTTACATGCAAAGGTTTCTGTTTCCAGCTTGTGTGCAGCTGAAGAACGCTCTTCAATTTCCAAAGCGGAGAGACAATTTTGGTAATAGCAGTAACATTCTGAACTTGAACACGAAATGGATTACCATTTCTCTTGTCGGCTTTCCAGGATGGCCGGATCCATGATTCATGATTTCACCACTTACCTGCTCCACGGACCTTATCATCAAAACAAAGGGGCATGGTTAATTTTAAATTCAGCAGATTAATCAGTTGAGTATATTAGAATCTCGTCATTTCTTTCTCCAAGGCCTATTAACATTTGTCATGGATAATCCATCATTTTCTGCAAAGAAATTTACCTGCTCTCTACAGTGCTTCCTTCGTTAAGACCAGACTTAAAATACGATCATAAACGGAACAACAATAGATTCAGCGTTTCACTATTTCAATAAAACGTAAGAAACCAAGGCTGCACGTCAGTTTTGTACCCTAAATATAAATGCTTTGGAAAGCTCTGCCTATCTAGGGGCTGGGAAGTAGTGTAAATAACAGCATGTTCGAAATTCAGCCAAAATTGCCTGCAAGATCAGAAGATTATACTCAGAATCCATGGACTTCTTTTGCCATCAGCTACTATTACTATGAGATACTGATTCTTCTCCTAATCTTGTTCCCTTGCCTCTGCCACACCTTGTTATTTTCTTTTCTTTTATTCCTTTTTCTTTCCAAAACAAACCCATAATGTGTACTATGGAATTGTTTTGACACACATAGTTTTGACACACATTGTGGTTTTGTGTTGGCCCATTATGAAGAAGCTGGTCATAACCTACTGAAAATCAAGCTAGAGCCTGGTCAGGAGATGGAATTGTGTATTATGTCGTTGGAGTGCTGCAGCCAGAAGAGGACTAACCTTCAGTAATATGGACTTCTTGGCCAACGGTTTTGCATGATCAACAAGATTCATCAAGAAAATTTTGAAAAATGCTTTGTCTAACAGTACTCTATGATCCATCGACTCGAGACAAGTAACCTACGTAATGTGGCCAAATTTTTTGCCTACTTGCTTAGCACCTTGGCACGTTTTGTCTTACATACGATTGACGGAGAGGAGACAACATCTTCTTCCCGTATTTCATCCAGATTCTCTTCCAGGAATCGTCTGTGCACCTTGGTATCATGGTTCAAAGTCACGGTCGCGAAGAACATGCCTCGCCTTATCATGCAACAGCAGAAGCCTCTTTCTGAATCTGATGAATCAGGTACTTCTAGTTCTCATGATTCAGATTCGTCTGAATCATCCTCGAGCTTGGAAGAAAGTGAAAGCGATAGCAAAAATGATGATAGACGTAGGAAGAGTAGGAGAAGATGAAAGATACTTCTGATTAACTGGAAACACAAATGTTGTTATCTGGATTAATTACAGCCTCATTTACTGTCCCAAAAAAAAAAGGCCAAGTGGTAATTAAGGACATTAATCAGTAGACCTTGACACTCAGGTTTCTTCTTGTCAGATTTAAACTCTTTCATAAACCAAAAAACGAATAGCAGTAGTATCCCCTTGTTATTTTTGCATAATAAATCAGATAGACAAGAAGAAGAAGCCGTCCAAGCCTTGTATGAAGAATTGTAGTAGCACTGCACAAGGAGAGAGCAAGGATGTAAGAACAAGAATGAAAAGATGGAAAGTTCCAAAGCATGTGACGGAGATCCATGAGAAGCTCGCTTTACTTTAACACAAGCTGAAGAGTGGAGAAAAAGGGAAGAGGAGGAGAGATTGAGGGAAGAAGAAGAGGAGAGGATCAGCGAAGAAGAGCTTGAAAGATTGGCACAAGAGCAGAAAAGTTTGAAGAAGGAAAGGGAAAAAGAAAAACGGTTGAAGAAAAAGCAAGAACGGAAACTCTTGACGAGTAAGCAAAAGGTAGAATCTCGTAGATTGGAGGCACATAGAGAACGCATACTACTTGGGATGATGGTGCTGATCTTAAACTGCTCAGGAGAAGTCCAGATGCTGAAGTAGATGTTGATTCTGGTGATCAGGAGCCTAAACCTCCAATGGCCATTAAGGAGTTCAAGGCAATCCCACATTTGAAATCTCAGATTCATCCGGAAGCTGAGGTTGTAGAACTAAAAGGTAATTCCTTTAAAGAAGTAGGAAAATTAGAATGTCATCTCCGTTCTCCAATCTGCTGCGTTATGGGTCATGTTGATGCTGGGAAAACCATGTTACTTCATTAACCTCGTGCCACTAATGTTCAGGAAGATCATGTAGGAGGCATTACTCAACAAATTGTCAGGTTTGTGTGACATTCCAGTTCTCTTTGTTGATATCGTGCATGGCTTGAAGCCCCAAACAGGCGAATCCCTCATTATTTTGAACTTGATGGGCACGCAATTCATAGTCGCGCTCAACAAGGTTGACAAACCTTATGGATGGAAAATATGCTACAATGCACCCATGGTGAAGGCAATGAAGCAACAGTCCGAAGGTGTGCAAAATGAATTCAACAAGAGGCTGACTCAGGTTATCATACAGTTCCAGGAGCAAGGAATAAACGCTGCATTGTACTACGAAAACAATTATATGGGGGAGACATTCAACATTGTGCCTACTAGTGCAATTAGTGGTGAAGGGGTCCCAGACTTGTTACTCTTACTGGTGCAGGGGGCTCAAAGGACCTTGGTTCGGGAACTTACTTATCAGAACCAAGTGCAGTGCATTTGTTTTGGAGGTTAAGGTTGTTAAAGGACTTGGGACAACCATTGCAGTGGTCTTAGTAAATAGTCTGCTCCATGAAGGAGATCAAATAGTTATTTGTGGCACGCAGGGTCCTATTGTTAATGGAATTCGAATAGTATTGAGTCTGACACCCCACCCACTGAAAGAGCTCCGAGTGAAGGACAATTGTTTGTGTTTGTATAGAAATCAATGCTGCATAGAGTATCAAAATTGCAGCACAAGGTCTTGAGAATGCTATTGCTCGCTCTGGGATTTTTGTTGTGAAGCCAAATGACGATGTGAAACGTATTAAGAAAGAAGCAATGGAGGATATCACATCAGCCATGAATAGGATTGGAAAAAAGGGGAGGGAGTATATGTTAAAGCTGCCTCTCTTGGCTCCTTGGAAGCCCTCTTGGAATTCTTGAAGAATCCTGCAGTTAATATACCTTTCAGCATTATAAGCATTGGCCCTGTGGATGAAAAAGATGCAAAGAAAGGAGCATCATGCTTGAGAAGAAGAGAGAATATGCTTCCATTTTGCCTTTTGATGTCGAGGTCACGCTGGAAATTTGGGAACTTGCAGATAAACTGGGTATCGAATTGTTCTGCGCAGATGTTATTTATCAGCTGTTTGATCAGTTTAAGCCTCATATTGATTATCTCAAGGAGGAGGAGTAGAAGAGAACTGCTGGAGATGCAGCATTCCCCCGTGTTCTTGAGACCATACCAAACACCGTTTTCAAAAAGAAGGGTCCCATTCTTTTGGGGATGGACGTCTTGATGGCGTTGCAAAGATTGGAACTCCACTATGTATTCCTCGAAAGGAGTTCATTGATATTGGCCATATTGAATTAATCAATAGCAGTGACATACCAGTTGATGATGCCAAGAAAGGTCAAAGGGTGACCATTAAGATCATTGATCGTTGTCCTGAGGAGCAGCAGAAGTAGTTTGGAAGGCATTTTGGTATTGAAGATGAGCTTGTCAACCATATCACTAGGGAGTCAATTGACATTCTTAAGACATATTTTTGGGAAGATCTGTCTAGTGATGAGCGGAAGCTGGTTCATAAGTTGAAATATCTTTTCAAGATATTATGAATTAGAGCTTCTATTAGAGAGAGAGAGAGAGAGCAAAAAAAAGGGAAAATGAAAAAGAAACATCCCGTTTGGATTGTTATTTTTAAGAATTTTTGTAAAAAAAAATGTATCGTATCAATTTAATATGTGTGAAAAGAAAAGATATAAAAAGATTATTAGAAAATGTGTTCACGAAAAACAAAAAAAAAAATTACTTTAGAAAACTGCAAATCCGAACAAGGATTTCTTTTACAGTTTCATCACCTTTGGTTTTTAGCTTATAGTTTCGAGCGTACCAACTTGCATGGAGACTACCCTCTGAAATTGCACTCTGAATTCTTTTATGAGATGCTCCAAAGGGGCAGTTTGTTGATTATCCCTATTGCATACCTTAAGCGGTCTCTCTTCGCTCTTACATACACTCTCAGCGCATAAATACAATCATGGCAATTACGGTCCTCATTTAGGAAGAAGCTATGTTCTGCACCTTTCAAATGAAAGCCCCTAGGGAACGAGGAACTAGCAGAGTCCTGGACTCTTGGGACTCGCATAGTGTATTTGCTTGAAAAATAAGACCACGGTTCTTTCCCAAATTTGTCTTCTCAATCTCAAAAATCACTTTAAGATGGACATATGAAGAATCTGAATCAGTATGAGTGATTGCTCAGAAAGTGAACAAAGACGAGGGATGTTTCATATATGAAAGAACAATCAGTAAAAATTCAGCGAAATTCCAGACAGCTACATTTCAGAGAACAAATGTGCTAACGGCAAAACTTTACTGCTGTGTACAACAGCACGACAGCAACCTTAACCAGTATATTGTA